TGACCAGTAGGGGCTTTAGATATTGAATCAGCACCTTGAATTTGACATAAGCAGACAATGCAGAATGTGGGGAAGTTAGCCAGTCACAGTGGCCAGCCTGACTTACCAGTAGTTTGCCCTTTTCATTGTATATTGTGCATTGTACATTGTCTGTTGCGTGGGCTGCCCATATCATGAGTCACAGTATGAAGACAGAGGTTTCTTGGGGAGAGGATAAACTTGGGGAGGGGATAAACTCTTGGGGAGGTTGATAAGAGAGGTAGGAAGGTGGGTAGACCCTTGAATAAGTCCCACCTATGTGTTAGTGAGTGCATCTGAGCTGGCAGAGAAAGTAAAGCAATAAGTCAGGTAAAGGGGTGGCACATTTTACTGAGGAGCCAGGGATAGCATCATGATTTTGGTCCATTTCTGGAGCAGAACAGTTATGCGGTGCCTTTTAGCCAGGGATTTGTGGCCAAGCCACAATCTAGATCTTTGGAGGGCGTCAATAAAAGCAGTAGCATTGCAAGTGGCCTACAGAAACATCCCTGGATTTCAGAAATACAGGCTGAAGGTGAAGAAAACAGGCATGACCATAGTCTATACATTTCATAACAGTCTAAAAATGTGTTTGAAAAGACCCATTATTTTTTTCAAATTAACAACTAAATAGTAAAGATTTACTAAAATTATGCCATGCCGGGGTATAAATTCAGGAGCCTCTACCATGAAAAACGCATACTGCAGAAAGTAACCTCTTTGTTCTATCCATTTTTTGTTACATCCACTAGAAATAATGACTGCAGAATCTCTTTCAACAAAAGGTCATTTATGTCAATGGACGAAACACAGAGGATCAAATCGCCTGCGGTAATTGCAAATTAATGCTCTACTGCTAAAGCATTAACTACATAATATTGATCTACAATTGAATCATACAGGCTACTGTGAAGTGAGTTTTACTTCAGTATTTTTGTGCTTTTATTGCTTTTTCCACAATATATTTTCCACTGGAATTTTCTATAATTGTCTCAATTTTTAGTTTCCTACAGTGTAATGACTTCTGAAAATGCATCTCTATTCCTCAAAGGCATTTCTAACAATCTACTAAACCATCAACATGACATGGTAAGGCACATGTGATACAAGTGACACACAAAAACAGAAGGAAAACCTTATTTTTATAGAATCAAAGCTTTAGGAAAAAGCTCACTTAAAAGGAAAAAAGTTACTTCAATAACACTGTGCTCTCCAGCAAACTTACTGTAGGAGACCAAATTTCAAAATGATACAGTAAAAAATGAGTAGTTATGTAAGAAATTTAGGATTGCATAATATATGTATGTCATGTTTATGTTGAAAAGTAATAGGTAGAGGGAGATACGCTACGACCAAGCACAGTACTAACAGAACAGGTGTGGAAGCTTTTAAATGCATCCAAAATATGATTGAAAAGATAAAAAATAAATGCTCTTTCCAACCATTCCTGAAACTTCACAGACTGGAAGACCTACCCGTTTATCTTTTCATTCCCAAATAGTAATGTGTAATCCCTTTGGGCTTTAGAGAGCATGGCCCTTTGAAACCTTTCCCTGAAGAGGAGAAAATGCTGATTATTCCAAATGTGTAGAGAGTGGTCAAGTAGAAGGGGATATGGAGCTTTAGCTCCAGATAAAGGAGGACAGCAAGCAGACCTCACCCAGTGAAGCAGCCCAAATCCTGACTGAAGCCTGGGAGGGACAGTGTCATCTATTGGGGACATCCTACAAATGGGAGCCAGGAGGAGCACTGGGGTAGGGAGGAATCACCTGAGAAGGACAAACCAGAGACACCACAGATGTATGGGACTCTGAGTACTGGAGCTTGTGACTTTGCCTTAGGAATAAGGAGGGAGATTGTAGGTACCTAAACCCTGGTCTACACTAGGGAGTCATTTCAAAATAACCGCCTTAGGTCGAATTTAAACATGGAGTGTCCACACTACCAACCCCATTATTTTGAAATAGGTTGCTTTATTTCAAAATCTGTATTTGTTCTTTCCTTGGGGAATAATGCTAATTTCGAAATAGTTAGTTCAAAATAGTGTAAGTACGGATGCTCCGGTGCTGCTATTTTGAACTAACTACTCCCCAGAGTAACTGAAACTAATTACTCCCCAGTGATTCCTGGGGCTCTAAGTTGAGGTAGCATGTCCACACTAACGAAGGTTGTCACAGACTAATTTTGAGGCTTCCTCATGGTGGAGACATGCTATTTCGATTTTGTAAAATCAGGGGTTATTAGGTTGAATTTAGTTATTTTGAAATAATTCCCTAAGGCTGTGTCTAGACTGCAGGGTTTTTTCGAAAAAAGTAGCTTTTTTTCAAAAAAAACTTCACCTGCATCTAGACTACAACTGCGTTCTTTCGAAATTAAATCGAAAGAACGCGGCTTTTCTTTCAACGGCGGTACTCCTCATTTCACAAGGAAGAACGCCTTTTTTCGAAAGTGCTCTTTCGAAAAAAGACGTTCTTGAATGCAAACAGGGCTTTTTTGAAAGAGAACATCCAGACTGCCTGGGTGCTCTCTTTTGAAAAAGCGGCTTGCTTTTTCGAAAGTACTGTTTGCAGCCTAGATGCTCTTTTTTGAAAGAGGCTTTTTCGAAAGTATCTTTTGAAAAAGCCTCTTTCGAAAGAGGCTTGCAGTCTAGACGTAGCCTAAGTGGGGAGGTTGTTGATCTGTGAAAGTTTGCAGACTAACAGAAGAGGACATTGCAGAGATTTGTTGAAGGCACCACCCGTTGTTGAAGGTTTGATTTTTTATCTAAGGTCAATATCATTTTGGTTTAAGAGCAGGTTATATCCATTTATTTTAAGTCTATTCCTCACTGACTTCAGCTATGTTGAAATAAGCCGCTTATGCCAAAATAAGTGTCCAAAGAGTTTTGCAATTGTTTTTCTAAATCAAAGTTAAACTAAGGGAAGTTTCTGGTATAAAGAAACCCTAAGAGGAAAAAACAGGGCTTGTCATTGTCTCTTTTGTGAAAATGATGCTAGAAAAAGATGAGCCTTGCAGTGTTCTCTAAAGGAGGTGTCCAGCCAAGTGTTCTATGGCGCACAGCTCCACACTGAACATGAATCACTTTAATCAGCCTATATTTAATTAGCATTCAAAAATTATTCTGGGTTTTCTAGGTTCAGCAAGTTATTCTTTAATTAGCCACTCCAGAAGCAATACCCATTCTGCTCTCTCAGTATTTACAAGTTAGAATTCTCCATTGTCTTCTGGGGCACGTCTACACACAAGAAATCCCCTCCGTTGCCCATCCACACATGCCTACACAATCTGCATCAAGGAAAAGTGCATAAGTCTAATGTAATGAACTTTCACCCAACCTGAATCAAAGTCCTTCAGAGATTTAAGTGCAACAGAAACATCATTCATTCTACTATATATAGTTAGTTATAGTTGTATAACATTTTCAACAAAAATCCTCAGAGGTTCAGTGAAAAAACTGTAGAATGTTATTTACACTTTAAGTCTAGGTTCAGTTTTAATTAGAAGCCATAAATGAAATGAATGCATAGTTCTGAAAACACTCCCTTGTTGATCATACTTTTGTTGTAGACAAATATTGTGCTACAAGTAGCATCATACGATTGCAGGAGAGGTGTTGCAAGAAAGACACAGTACTGAAGTACTGTACTGACACGGTTACACAGACAAGGTAGCTCCTTGATCCTTTTGTCAGAAAAGGAGAGTTTGAAATAAGCAAATAGAAGTTTTAACAATGAATAAGTGCAATTAGTAAAGCAAGTAGACAAAACAAGTTATGGGATAACCTTGCACACTCTTCTGCTTGTTTGATGCTAATACTGAAAATTCAAGACTGGCTGCCAGAGCTGCACATTTCCTACTGCTACTTCCCCTTTCCCCCGAAGATTTATAGGTACACCACTATCTCCCACCTCACACACAAATCCAGAACAATTCACTGTACTTTGCTTCTGGAGCTAACAAACAAATGGTAGCTTGGAAACCCAGGTGTATGCAATTTGCCAACTGCTGAGAGATTCACCATAGAGTCAGACCTGATGTTAGAGATCCCCAAAATTCTTAGCACTGAGCTCATGTAAATAATCCTGCCAGTAAAGGTGCCAGCCCAGGATTTTCACTTCACCACAGCAAACTTATGACTAGCCTTTGCCATCACCGCAGCTAACCAGTAAGGCTTGCCCTACAAGGAATCCAGTTTTCAGTGTCAAAGAGGGTATTGGAAATGAAGGCACCTTCATCATGTTGTTGACTAACTACCATTGCCTCCAAACACAAGTCCCTGCCTTCACCTAGATGTCTCCCTTCCCTGATTACTTATAGATCCTGCAAGCTTCCAAAGACAAATGACACTAGCACCATGGGGTTGATGACCTGGTGAAAATTGATGACACTATGACTATCTACCACCCACAGCAACTGTCCTCCTCCTTTATATATCAAAGATTCTCAGACAACTGCATAGGGCAGGCAAAAGACAGAAGTACTGATGGACCTTCTAGAACCTATACTAACAACACGTCCTATTCATGAAAAATCTGCAGTTCATACTAAAGTGTGACCAGAGCTTAGGAAAACATCAGTCAATGAAACCTAACTTTCTTGGCTAACTATTCCTTACCCATGGACTGAAAACTTCCTCTTCCAAAGACCTTGTACTGATCAACTTCATTTAATTAACAAGGGAAAGTGATTTAATTTGGAAACTTTCTAGATTAGAGGAAAAAGTACCACTTCACTCTTAGGAAGCTAGCCTTTTCTCAGGTCAGCACAATAGATTATAGGGCAGCCACTCCATCACTGAATATCTTAAGTGAATGGCTCCTAGGAATGAATATGAAGCTCACAATATGAACATTTGTCTCAATGGATCAATTATGTTAATTTGTCCTTTTTCCTACGAAAAAGGTGAAATCTTTAGTTTTAAGATAAATTACAGTTCTGTGATAAATTGTTTATTATAACTTTTAAAGGAAAAAACCAAATACCTGTAGAACTGAAGCACCACTGTGAAGAAATTGCAGCCCACTCTCAGCTGAATCAATTCCTCCTGTTGCTAAAATGGGAAATCCTGGAAGAGCATGAGCTATAGCAGATACTGCTCGCAGGGCTATGGGCCTAATAGCACTTCCTAAGGAAAATGAAAATATAGTGTTAGCAAGTTGGAATATTCTGCACTTAGATATGATGTGTGCATGCATGCCCATCATGGGATGGCAGTATTGTACTAGACAAACCACTAATATCTAGAACTAATATCTAATTCTAATATCTAAAATATATATTAATTTGTAAATCAATATGTATAAGGTTTCAAATAGTATTATTACATGTAAAAGTGTTAGGAACGTGGGTGTAATAACCCTAAAATTGTACAGAAACACTTGCATATTTATCTGGATAAAACATAAAAATTGGCTTAAACATTTAAGCATCTGTTTTAAAAGAACAAGGAACAATATATTTAGAAACAGAAAACAATTCCATACAGTAAATTATAGACATACAGCTCTACATTTTCACATTAGGTATCAGGCTGCTACTATGAACACTGGTATTGAATTTGTTTTACATAATCTGAATCAAACGTTTGGTTTAAAACTACCATTCCCAATGCACTTTGACATTTGGATATTATTTAATATATATCCTCTGTGGACACATTCAAGAATGTTGGTACCTCTTTAAGAAGCCCAGCTTTGATCAGATTATTCTCTAAAATTGCATGGTACTATTCAAAGTTACTCATATGCATGAATGGTTGCAGGACTGTGGTTTTCATTTTTGAAGTAGTATATGAGGATTTGGCCACTCAATCTCTTAAAGCATTTATGGGAATCATGATAAAACCCTAGTGCACTGTTTAGACATTTTACTCCATTCCATTTAAAGTATATTGAAGTTTACATGAGTATTAACAAACACATGAGAATACAGCTTGTATTACACACTAAATTATATGTGTTGCTGGCATATATTCTGCTATATTTTTAGACTATTTGGTATTTAAACCACTAAAAACTTTTTATACTAAAGTATCTGGTGAATTTAGAACAAAAACACAGTGAGTTACAGCAGTGTCTTGCAGTAGAGCAGGGATTGCACATGGCACTGGCAAGATGCATACAGAAGAGTATTTCATTAACAGGGAAATTGACTAGGGATCTGTCTAAATTAGAGAGAAAAGGTGTTTTTTATATTGAGGTAGACAATTTGAAAAGCCTGAATACCTTGTGCAGACATGATGTCACACATTTATAATTTTATAGATATTGGCTTGTGTAACAGATTCTGCCCTTCATGCGTGCGCCCCTTGATGGCTGAGGAGGGTCTTACAGTGTTTACTCCCGTCTGCATGCGAGGCAATGTCCAGTCAGTTGCCAGAGATTAGGCCTCTTCTTTTACCCCCCCTGTGGTTTGCAGGAGGGTTGGGAGGGACCCTTCTGTGTCCTGGCCCAGGGACCCTCTAAGAAGCAGTTACCTGCTGAGTTTCAATGTATTCAGTTGCTGTCACATTCTTGGGCCACTTCCCCAGGATGCTGTTCCATCAGCCCTTTTCTAGGGGCTTGTGGCTGAGTCCCCCTTGTCCAGGGTTCTGCAGCGTTGTCTTTGGCTTTTTGGCTAGCCTTTAGCTGCAGGATCTGGCCCTGATCAGGTACAATGCCCAGCTCCCACTCAAAGCTGTCCAGAGTGCTTCATTCCCTAGTCAGCCCTGAGGTCTCCCTGGGTCAAACTCCAGGAAACCTCATTCCAGGAGGAATAACAGCTAATTCGATTTAGGGCCTTAATTCAGAATCCTGTTTCCCTGCCACGTTTAGACGCGGGCAGTTACTTCGGGCTAATCAATTTCTAAAATGGCGACCAGCTGGGAACATGCTAATGAAGCACAGGATATTTAAATCCTGCACTTCATTTGCAATTTTGGTCGCCCTCATTAGCCTCCCTAGATCGAAATGGGGGGCTAGTGTAGACATACCCTAACAGAAGAGTAATTCCCACAACGTTGAATGCAGTACACACACACTCTCAATTCCCATCTGAAAGTGAAAATAACAACACATGCATACTTCAGCTATGCATAGTTGTCCTGGTAGGGATCTTCATAGAGGATCTAAGGTTAAGCTAGCAGGCTGCTGTCTAGAGAGTTGTCCACCCTTTTTCATGCTTTACACTTTATATTTTTTTAAACAGTGGTCACCTTTGTTAGAGTGGATGCTACCTGTAGTAAGTTGATGTCTGTTCATTGCTATCACAGCACACTTGGTACCACAGACAGAGTGAATGAGCAGTACAACTCTGCACATCAAGATGTAGGACCTGTCAGTTTGTTTTAAACCAGGAAGCTGTGGTTTTCCAGTAGAATTTTTCATTTTAAAAAGGACACTGTTTGCCAATGTCATTTTTCCAACAGAAATCTGAAAATTTGGTTTACTTTAACCATTTCAAAACCCTTCTTTTTTCAGCTCAGGTTGCCTCCAGCAAAATGTCACCTCCTCCTAACAAACCACTGATACAGGCAACACCGGACTTCAAAAACAGGCTGTCTGACAAGTCTGTCCCGTCAGTACATGTTACAGAATCAGCATCCAAATGCCTAGATAAGTTGTCTCTACTGACATCTGCTCCTGATTCAGCACATGAATTATCTTCTTGGCTTATGCCATCTTTAGCTGCTTCAGCACTGATCCCATCTCATTATTTACCAACCTGACATTTTCTCCCCCTGCCAACAACTGAACTCTGTTTTTTCCATCCCATCGACACCTGGGTGAGAAGCAGCTTTCACAGTGCCTGGTGAGTCTATCTTGTTAATGTGTATCTTCAAGGCATGCTGGATGTTCTTGAATATCTGGATTATTGATGTGTTCTTTGAATAGGTACCATTTTGCACTGAAGTTATGCTTTGCTCCAGCAACAACTTTAGAGAGACTACAGAGATAAATAATATCTTCACCATGAACACTTTCAGAAATATGAAGGGACAACTTAGCCTAATGTAAGAGTTTTCTGCCACCAGTCCTGGTGTGCTTTTGGGCAATTGAGTGATGATTCACAAAAGCTGGAAACTAATGAAAATTCATTATAGAACCCAAGTAAAGATAACAGCAAAACAGAATCACAAAAGAGGAGACAGACGACACAGAACATTCTAGTGGGCAGTGATGCTCTAATATTTGCAGTCACTTTAACCAGATCACTCATAATAAGATTGTAAAGAACAGAAAGATGATAAATGATACAATGAGTACTTATTCTTAGACATTATATAGTACCATAGCAGAGATGATGGTCAAGTCTTACAGATGACTCAGCTCAGAATAAGGGTATCATGCAAGACATTTTTTCAAGCTTTTATTTATTAAGTTATCTGTGTGGCCCAAAAATACACATTACACAAACAAGACCATTCAGAGCTCAGTAAATAAGCACACAAAATGCATCAACAACTCATTTTTTATGAGCAAGACTGCAAAGGAAATCCAGTTTTAAACATTGGTCCATCTAGTGCAAAGTGCAGTTTGCGCCAGTATCCAGAAACAGATGCTTCAGAGAAAGGTACAAATAATTCAGAAGTAGGCTTATTATGAAGAATTTTGTTCTTAAACCACAACAGTTAAAGGCTGGTGTATGCCTTGAGGAATAAAGGCTTATTCCTCTTCTATTTTAAAAAATATTGATGTGAATATGGATGTTCTCATTTTCCATATAAATAGCCAATCATTTTCTTAATTGTGTCAAAACTTTGACATAATTGATATCTTGTGGCAACTAGTTCCACAGAATTCCACTTTATGTGAAAAAATATATTTTGTATCTGTTTTAATGTTCTGCTTATTTAAATAAGAGTCTCCTTAAACAGAGGGGATGAGGAAGGAACCAGTGACTGCTTGCTAAGGTAGTTCCACAATAAAAGTAATCAGAAAGGACTTCCTTCATTTCAACTAATCAGTGGTGTGACTGCAGCAGCACAGCAGAGAAAATAATGACTCCATTACAAGATGTTTGGATCTCATTGGATAGGGTGGGGTTTTGATGGAGCTAGTATAATGAATAGATTATTTTTCTGGAGCTCAGACACTCATTTTCAACAAGTTTCCAGTTGTCTTTATATCCACTGTGCAAGTTGTTATTGACATTTGGTAATTAGTAAATCTAATGGTAAATGTTTAGGTACAATTGGAAAGGAACAATATTAATCTAGAACCCAGTGCACCACAATTGACTGACAGGTGGCAAAAAGACATATTTTGAAATACTGAAACACAGAAAAATATGGAATAAATAAATAAAGAGTGACTTTAATAAATATTTGATAAAACAAGACAAATGTGCAGTGATTTTGGCCCAGAGTTTAATTTATTTTTACATGAATGCCAAGGGAGTTAAAATTATACTTCCTATTACAGAAATGTATAAATGCCTCTTGATGAGGAAGAAATAAAGGAAGACTGGAGGGAAGCAGATATAACCCAGCCTTTCAACAGGCTTTTGGGAAGGATCATGAAGAAAATGGCTAAACTTACTGAAAGCCAAGGGGAAATGTTAACAAAAACGAATCACTAAGGTTTCATAGAGTGGAAAATGTCTGGTAAATCAAATGGAATTTTAAAAAACCAACAACAACGCTATGGTCCCAATCCAGCAATGTATATCAGCACTTGGGACTTCAATGAGATTATTTACATGCTTAAAGTTTAGTACATGACAAAATGATTTGATATATTGTTTTTATTTATAATTCTACTATGTCATTGTTAGTCTCTAAGGGTATGTCTACACTACAGTGTTATTTCAAAATATCTTATTTCAAAATAGTTATTTTGAAATAGCTTATTTCGAAATAACACGTCTACACACAAAATGCATTTCGAAATAGCACATCCACACTGAGTGAACTTTGAATCGCATTGAAGGCTGGCCTGAACCAGTTCCAGCAGGGGACCAGGTTAGAACTTACTGTGTGGGCCTGCTGCCTGAGGCTATCTGAGGTCTGTGCTTAAAGGGACCCCTCCCTCCCCCGGATAGCCAGTTCTCAGGTTTCCCTGCTTGCTTGTCTACCTCGATGAGGGACAGCAAAACATTTTGTCTCTGTGTGCTCTGATTGCCCTCACTTGGGACACCACATCATTCTGCAACATGGAGCCAGAGCTGCCCCGGGCTCTCTGGTGCTTCTCTTGGACACGTTGCTGCGAGCCTGGCTGCACTTTCTGCAGGCTGCCATCTGGGAGGTCCATTGGGGGGCTGTCAGTATCCAGGAGGCCCTACGGGAGAGCTTCCACTCTGAGGAGCACTAAGAGCCTTCCTGGTCTGCCCCACTGGGGGCTTGTGCCTCATTCCTCTCTCACGTCCTTCCACTTACCCACCTCAAGCCCCCTTCCTGATGTCAAATAAAATACATGTATTTTCATGAACACAAACTCTCTTTATTTAACAAAACTGGGGGGGGGGAATGAAACTCTGGTGAGACTAAGGAAAGGAGGTGGGAGAGGGGAGAAGAGAGAGTAGGAGAGGGGAGGGGGAAAACCTGGGAGGAGGGAGCTGAAAGAGGGAAGCAAGGGGAAGAAGGGGGAGGAGAAGCTCAGGGCTCAGGACTGGGGGTCTTTCCGGACCAACTTGATTGTCATGCAATCCTGCTCCTGGGTTCGCATGTGGCCTTTGGTGGCCAGGCTGGCAGCTATCCTGCCATAGATGGCCACATTCCTCCGTCTAGTGCGGAGATCATGGACGTTGGGGGCATCCCCCCAAACCTGAATAAGGTACATGATCTCCACCCTGGACCAGGAAGGCACCCATCTTCTCCAGGCCCTGGCAGGCTCCTGGGAGCTGGCAGACTGCTCCTGGGGAGCAGTGGAGGGCTGGCTGCCAGTGGCTTGCTGGCTCATGTTTTGGGGCCACTGGGTCAGAGGCAGTGACTGCTGGCTCTGGGCTGGCAGGCTTGGAGCTGGCACAGGCACTGTGGACAGAGTCTACCCCATTAAGGGCTCTGGGGAAGGTGGAGGGAGAGAAGTGTTCTTGGTTGAGGCTGGAGTGGCCGCCAGGGGATCCTGGGAAGGCTGGGGGCCCCCTATTTCGAAATAAGTGTCTACACAGCACTTATTTCGAAATAGCTATATCGAATTTTGTGTTATTCCTCGTAGAATGAGGTTTACCAAATTTGAAATAAGCGCTCCGCTTTTTCAATTTTATTTTGAAATAGTGGTCTGGCTGTGTAGATGCTAGGAAAGTTATTTTGAAATAAGGGCTGTTATTTCAAAATAACTTTGCTGTGCAGACATACCTTTGAGAGTTGCTAACAAAATATTCCTTTGATGGCGACATGACATTGCTTATCAAGGGCTGGATGGGGGTATGCCATACTGTAAAATAATGAATAACTGGGTATTATATCTGAAGCTCTTTTATCTAGACCTTAAGACTAAAATTTGAATGTAATAGAGAGAAATAGGTTTATATCATGGAGGCGACATTTTATTGCACATTCAAAATACTTTTTTCATATCACATTAAAGTGTAATACGCCTACTGTTATTTAAAGCTAACCAATGATAACAAATTCTAAAATGCAAAAAACTATTTATTTTTCAGCTATGTAATTAGGGACTTTTTTTGTTTGTTTTTAAATAAAAGTCAGTGTTCATGATTAAAACAGACAGAAGTCACAGACATGCGGCACAATCAAATATATCAAGTGTCACAGACATTATTTTATACATCAAATAATGTTCTTCCCCTATTTAATGTAAATGACTAGAATTGTGCTTCTTCTGTCATAAGAGTGAACAGATATCAATACAGTGGTAGTAATTGTCACACAAGAGGTGATCTTTATTTTAAAGAAAAAAAATGGCTGTTGTCTCCTGTGAAGAAGGAGACTTTATCTCTGTTGGAGAAATTAAGGTGCTAGTCAAGAGTTTACTGGTGTGGTTCTTGGTGTCATAGGGGCTGCTTTTCACTGTTCCAGTTCAGTCCTGTAGAGTTTTGAGCTTTTTCACGTCTGAAGTTATGGGAGCTGGATGCTCCTGGGATTGTCAAAAATTGCTAAGCACATTTCAAAATGGAGCATGTGAGGTCACCCAATGTACTTTGAATTAAAACAAAAAAGACTCATGATGATGTCAAGGGCTTCACAAGCAATCTAGTTTCTATCAGAATCTCTGATAGCTCTCAGTCAAACTGGTTCAGCTGTTCACCATCATATGTACAGCAGACTTCCGATAATCCGGAATCTTTGAGACCTAGGTGGTGCCAGATTATCGGATATGCTGGACTATCAGGAGGTACTATAAGATGGTTATATATACAGTATATACTGTATATAAAGTGTTTTTAACCCTTTTTATTGTATATACTGTATACACTATACTGTAATGTTTTAGTTTTTTAACCCTTTTTTACTCTTTTCTCTTGGTTCAGCTGCTGCTGCTGCTGCTGCCTTATGACTCGTTTTTTGCTGAACTCACTCAATAGGCTCTTGCCATTTTGATGCAGAACTATCAGGAGTGCCGTACAATTGGATGCCAGACTATTGGAGTTTTACTGTACCTACCCATGTGAAAACAAATCCAGGTATCTCATAAGTATTAGGATATTAGGCTTGATACACATTTACAGTAAGGCACTATTCTCTACACTGGCAGCATAAAAAGGCCTCAAAGCACATCCACTTTAAGAGCACTTTATACTGCCAGAGTGGCTGTAAAGGCATCTGAGAGTAAATAAAAATCAAGCCCTCTTCCCGCACCCCTCCCCATTTAACTGGCCAGTGTGGGAATTCCAGTGTCACTCCTGTGATGATAATAGCAAAGCTAAATATAATTATTATATCATTATTTGTATTTTTCCACATATTTATTTTTTCTACCATATAGTTTGATTCTTGAAATTGTATATTTGGCCTTTAAATTAAGTTACATACAGCAACTAAAGGAACAGATAAATAAGAAATCTCCTAATAACTACCAAACAGTAGCTGGCTTAGCACTGAAATTCGATCATAATTCTCACTAAGTTTCTTTGCATGCAAACACGAAATGTAATTTTAATTTATTTATGTTATAGTAATTACTGTGGATCTTCTTTACAAATGTAAATTCAGGTTTGAAATACAGTAGACTAAACTTTACACAGAAAAAAGAAATACTGAGCATTCAAATTATTTTTAATGAAGAAAATATTTTTGATGATTGTGCTGCTATGAAAAGAAAAACAAAAATCTACCCATCACTTCCCTCTCGCAGATTATATACATATATATTCTAGCAAGGTAGATGAAGCTGCTCTCTTCCCAGAAGCTAAGTTAATAAAATCAGGGAAGGAAAAATCAGAAAGAGAGAGAGAGAGCAAATATCAGAGTTCGGGGGAAAAGGTAGAATGGGAATAGATCTGGGAAAGTTCACCATTCAGTTACTGTAAATAATCAGTTCCTGTAAATAGTAACAGAATGAGAAAGTTTGAAGATTAGACAAAAGCAAATAAAGGAAATTAATCCGATTTAAAAGGAACACTCTACAAATGCTTGTATTGTATAATACTGATGTTTGAAAGAAACTTTCTATAGATAATCCATTTTTAGTAACTCAGACTAATGTACAAGACATTTGTAACTAATTCATTATTTGTCATAATTATTCTATATGTTCTTTCTCTCTCCCTCCTGTAGGTGGCCACCATAAACTACACTTATTAAATAACTCATTAGCAGGGTTTTCAATACTGTCATATCCAGATAATTAGCAATTTATTTAAATAACCAATTTCTGTGGAAATAATTGCCATGAAATGCCCTGAACCTACTTTTTATAAACTATAATAAAAGTGTTAAAATAATCCCTGACATTTGCAAATGCCATTAGTTCACCTTTCCTTTTGATAGTGCTATGGCATTATGTTTAAACAATTACCCGATAATGCAGCAGTTTAATGAAATAGTGCAGCAAGCACGTCCTTCAAAATGGCCAGTGAATGCATTTATATGCAGAAGAAAATTCAGTGAGCAGATATGTCTGGAGAAAAATATGATATACAGCTAGTATAAAACCCCAGAATGAAAGCTATTAGTACCACATAATTCTTGGAATACTAGTAAACATATGATGCACCAAAATGTCATGTTCAAGACGGATTTGGCTTATAGTTTAGGTGTTTAATTCAGAATCTGATTTATCAAGGAACCTGGATAACTCTTCTATCAGTGTACCTTTCAGAATCAATCTCGCCCATGACTAATTTATATAATAAGAGCTGTTTTGCCACATTGACTTATAAATTATTTATTGTTTCCATATTTTGTTAACAAAATACAATAGTTTTTGGTTTTACAGTTTAACCAATATGGAATTTTAGCAAACCTGGATTTTCCAAACCAAAGATGGACCCCAGAATATTTCCATTTAAATCTTATAATTACATGTTCATTTTCCAAAAATAATCTTTAGAGGAATATATGCCAGATTGGTGTTTACAGTATCTTAGATAACTGACCTCCAACTGTGACTGGTATTTGGTTTAAATTATATCATATTTCAATGGTGAAATCCCAGCTCCATGAAGTTAATGGCAAAATTGCCATAGATTTCAATGTGGCATCCTGCCAAATTTAGGACAGTGTCTGGGTCACTGCAGGTTTTTTTTCTCAGCTAATGATGTTCTCAGTCAGTTATGTCCTCCAGAGGAGATGGAAATGGAGGAGAGTCAACATTTTCTGTTTTAATTATTTGTCTTTTCCTTTGCCATGTGTCAAAAGCCTGTCCTTCAGAATTGTAGTGTCTTTGAGTCCATTCTGTGCATGTCTGTGAATACCAATAATTATTTCACCCCATTTTCTCCCTCAAAACAAGACGGGAAAATGCAGGAAATGGAGGCATCAATTATGACAAAAAAGAAAGACCAAAAGTGATCTTTTCAGTCCCCCCCCACTTTCTAAATTACTAGCGATGATTATTTATGAACTTTCTGTTGTAAAGTTCACAAAATCACCAGAGTTCTTATTCAATAAATGTTTAGTTGTCATAGGAGATTTCTTTAAATTAATAAATGTTAGATTTGGGGAATAGAGAGAAAAGGAATATTTTTCTTATCTGTAAATGTTATTTCCCCTGGGGACAAGGTCAGTTTCTAACTTGATAGGTTTTCACTTACAGCACACTTGCAAAGAGAGCAGGAAACAATAGGGGTGTAGGATTTTTTTGGGATGCTCATATGAGCTCTTCGGCATGTGCTCCGAATATACCCGGTCATGAAAGTCACAGTATTTACTAGTCTCAGAGGGGTAGCCATGTTTTACAGGGGTAGCCTGTAATTTAAAAACAGTAATGCAGTGGGTTTTAAACATGAAAGTTCATGATATTATATATTTTTGTTAGCCTCTAAGCCCTGGTCTTCACTAAGGAGTTGTTTTGAAATAACCGCCCTTATTTCAAAATAATAAGTGATGTGTCCACACTAGCAAGCCCATTATTTCAAAACCTGTACTCCTGTTTTCTGCAGGGAATGAGCTTATTTTGAAATAGTTTTTTGGGAGTTATAATTTTAAATTTAGTTATTTCAAAATAATTTCCTAGTGTAGACATTCCTTAAGGTACCACAGCACCAGTGTTCCCTCTAAGCTGGGAAACCTAAGTGACCCAGTGAAAAGAAAACTGATTAGAGATGTCAGGCTCAGGTAAAGAGAAACATTATCCCAAAAGATAAGTCTTGTGGGGTAGTGACCGTCTTTTTCTCTGTCTTTTGTGGCACCTACTAGAATAAGGCCCTGATCCTGATTGCAGCTATTAGGCGTTAAAATACTATAAATAAAATGGTATTAATCACTGAGATGAAATGTGCAAAATAGAATTAAGGGAAGAAACATCTAAGAAATACCTTGTTCATCAAAGAAACACAATTTGTAGAGTCTCCCAATGGATAAGTTGGTTTCTAATTAGGCAGGCTCTGTGTCTTACTCATTCAATCAAAGAGTGTGATTACTTCTCTAGAACACAAAGTAGACAAACACTACACTTTCTGAAGCCTGAAGCTGCATCTGCAGGTAGCCACTGAGCTGAACATATCAGTATATCTACACTTGGAGGGGAGGATGTAATTTCCACCTTGCATAGACACAGAGTCACTAACTCCCACCAAGCTTGACTGCTAACAATAGTAGAGAAGCCAGGGCTAACCACCTTGGCTATGTCTAGACTACATCCCTTTTTCGTAAAAGGGATGTAAATTAGACGTATCGCAATTGCTAATGAAGCGGGGATTTAAATCTCCCCCGCTTCATTAGCATAAAAATGGCTGCCGCTTTTTTTCCGCACAGAGCTTTGATGGAAAAAAGTGCCAGTCTAGACACTGATCTTGTGGAAAATAAAGTCTTTTCTGAAAGATCCCTTATGCCTTATTTCCTAGCAATTACGATACGTCTAATTTACATCCTTTTATGAAAAAGCGATGTAGTCTTGACATAGCCTGTGTGTACAAATCTGCCTGAATTCTATGGGCACATACTTCACACTGGTAGCCTGTGCCACCACTTGCCAATGCCTGTGCTATTCTGGTTACACTACTATGTTTGGAGTGCTAGCTTGAGGAGAGCAAGCACAAGCATGTCGTAAATGTGGACATATTTTTGCTAGTTACACAGGAGCTGACAAATTGGTTCTGGGGAAGCAATGCTTGGGAAATGGTATTAGATATATTATATATGGGCTTTAATTCCCCACTGGACAATGTCTGTGCAATGTCTGTCCAATAGGGCTTCAGTTAAAAAACCATTTAAGTGTGTGTGTTTAAATTCAACCTTGTTCAATCAAATATTTCAGCATATTTTTAGCCCTAAGCATACAATCGGACTTAATCCGGTGTCCAAAGAGCTTGGTGAAACAGTGCAGGACTGCTGAACTGGGACCTTTAATATCATACCATTCATGTTAAAATATTAATGCTACCGAAAACATCTGTGACAACTCTTCATCATGATGGATCTAGTGGTGTTCCAAGGCTTTAAAGATACATATATTTGTGAACCATTTTAATCTGCATTTTCTAGTACTTCTCCTAGCTGTTTGATAAATTCAGTAGACACCAAACACCACCACTTCCACAAACACCACCAACAAACCACCAAGAACAAAAAACGATTGATCTGCTACAAAATCAAGAATACAAAACTAGTGTGGGAGAAATGACCCTATCTTAATTGGACTCTGTTTGCTAATGCACTAATGTAAAAATATGTATGCTCAATAAACAGATACATTTCCATATTCACATATACATAAAACAGAATGGATGACACGTCCCCCGAAAAAACCTGTTATTTCAACACTTGAAGTGAAAAGTGTTAAAATAAATGGCTCATCACACACAAGTGTTAAAATAAATGTTTATTTCAACACTATTTGTGTCATACCCATGTATTTCAACACTTGCCATTTCTCAAGACTTCTGCAACCCAGAGTAGGAGAGAGATAGCTAACACAGGACAATCAAAAAATAATTTGTGTGGTACATGATAATTAGGAATCTTTTTACAATTTAAAATAATGGAAGAGATACCTTAAAAGTACTAGGAATCTGTTTCTGCTAGTGAGCTGGTGGCTCCCACCAGTCAAGAAAAGAGCCAGGACCACACTTGAGTATATTTCAAGATCATATCTCATGGTCCAGTCCAACTTACTATTTAAGCATACAAAACTCATGAGTAAAATAATTCAGTCTCCTGACTAACATAGGCTAATGATCCAAAAGGCTTTTTTCTTGCCCACCTCAGCCCCGGGTAAAATGCTTCTCTTACATTTTCTGCTGAGTCACGTGACAGGAATGGAGACCATAACACTTTCATGACTGTTTTATCTCAGCATACTGCTGTTTTATTAAGAATCCAGAAACATCTTGGCTGTGTCTAGACTGCATCCTTTTCCCGTAAAATAAGGAATAAGGGATCTTTTGGAAAAGGCTTTATTTTCCGAAAGATCCGCGTCTAGACTGGCGCTTTTTTCCGGCAAAGCTCCAAGCCGGAAAAAAGCGGCAGCCATGTTTATGCAAATGAAGCGGGGGGATTTAAATCCCCGCTTCATTTGCAATTGCGATGTGTCTAATTTGCATCCCTTTTACGGAAAAGGGATGCAGTCTAGACGCAGCCATTTATTTTAGATCTAAGATTTTTCTTTGCTTGTTTCGTGGGGGTGGAAGCAGATTCCGTTCACATGACTACACCCATCATCTTATTATATGAGATGTATATAACTTTCATTAAAAACAGAAAACTGACATCAAGCAAAATCATTTTGTCTCAGCTTTTCAGACAAACCTGAAATTCAGCCAGATTAACAAACCTTCCCAAGATCAATCAAGTCTTGCAGGAATCTGGGCTGATTTATGGTTTCTGTCACAGAATGGATTCAAAATCAGGCCAACATGGCAACTTTTGACTTTCACTTTGAAATTTTTGAGTTGAAACACAAAATGAAACTATGCAGATGTTGATTCACCTGAACCAGAACCAAAACAAATCTTGTGTCGATAAAAACTGGCATTTTGCTGATGTCGTAATCCATGACTTTAATTGTTCAATGGTGGTGAAAACAGTTATTTTGATACTCTTGGCTGGCTTCCAAGACTGGTATCTTCTTTTAATGCAAGGCCCATATCTGTTTCTGAATTGGAAGCAGCAGCTCTCAAACCATAGGCCTACTTAGAACAGCATGTGCTCATCTGACATCTCTCTCTCTCTGTGCCTTCCTGCTTTCAGGAGGAGAGAGCAAAATGCTGAAAGAACCAGTGCTTTTTTTCTCCTTTGGTTGTGCAGGTGTTCAGCATTATTGGACCATCTTTTGTTCCAAATGGAGAGAAAAGGGAAGCCAAGGATTTGTTCCTCATCTCACGGCAGAAAAGTCTTCCTTTGAATGTTCTAAAGAACCATCACAGTATATTATCTGTATCCTTTATGCAGGAGTCACTACAGATGATGTTTGTACTAAAAATGTTGTGCCATTTCATAGCTTTCATTTTCTAGCAATACAAATAACAGGCAATACTACTAGTGATTTGCACTCTTAAGACCTACAGAGGAGGTTTCAGGGATACCCGAGGACACCATTATCACAGGCTTTTAGGAGAAATAAACCACCTGTGATATGATCAAATGGATTATTCTCTTAGACTCCCTCACTATTCTTCCAGGCCAACAAATGAGTGTGGAAGTCCTCTCCATTCTCAGTTCTATATCAGTTCTCAAAAAGAAAAAGAAAAACACCTAGAATATTTTTAAATCACAGCAGGCCTTTCCACATACTAAAAGCTGTGCATTTAAATTAGAATTGCCTACACACACAAAGCTGAAATAAGAGGGCCCCAAATGCCCTCCTTATGTGTCTCTCTCTGTCACACACATGCACCCCTGCATAAACCCAAAGAAACATGCGTTTCAAGCACACTTTCTAACATCTCCTTAGATATTGGCATTGAAAGTATGCTTATTAAGTTTGCAGATGATACTAAGCTGAGAGGGGTTGCAACTGCTTTGGAGGATAGGGTCATAATTCAAAATGATCTGGACAAATTGCAGAAATGGTCTGAGGTAAACAGGATGAAGTTTAATAAAGACAAATGCAAAGTGCTCCACTTAGGAAGGAACAATCAATTTCACACAGAGGCTGCATCTACACTGGCAAGTTTTTCTGCAAAAGCAGCTGCTTTTGTGGAAAAACTTGCCAGCTGTCTATACTGGCCGCTTTGAACTTGCACAAGAACACTGACGATCTAATGTAAGATTGTCAGTGTTCTTCCGCAAATACAATGACTCTCCTGTTCGGGAAAAAGCCCTCTTGCGCAAATGCTATACAGAATGGCTACATCTACACTGGCATGATTTTCCTAAAATGGTTTTAACGGAAAAGTTTTCCGTTAAAAGCATTTGCGGAAAAGCACGTCTAGATTGGCAGGATGCTTTTCTGCAAAAGCACTTTTTGCAGAAAAGCGTCCGTGGCCAATCTAGACGCGGTTTTCCGCAAAAAAGCCCCGATTGCCATTTTCGTGATGGGGGCTTTTTTGCAGAAAACACTACTGTGCTGTCTACACTGGCCCTTTTGCACAAAAGTCTTTCGGAAAAAGACTTTTGCCCGAACAAGAGCAGCATAGTATTTCCGCAAGAACACTGACGATCTTACATGAGATCGTCAGTGTTCTTGTGGAAATTCAAGCGGCCAGTGTAGACAGCTGGCAAGTTTTTCCCCAAAATCAGACGATTTTGTGGAAAAAGTTGCCAGTCTAGACATAGCCAATGGGAAGTGACTGTTTAGGAAGGAGTACAGCAGAAAGGGATCTAGGGGTTATGGTGGACCACAAGTTAAATATGAGTCAATAGTGTGATGCCGTAGTAAAAAAAGCAAACATGATTCTGGGATGCATTAAAAGGTGTGTTGTGAGCAAGATATGAGAAGTCATTCTTCTGCTCTACTCTGCGTTGGTTAGGCTTCAGTTGGAGTATTGTGTCCAGTTCTGGGCACTGTATTTCAAGAAAGATGTGGAGAAATTGGAGAGGGTCCAGAAAAGAGCAACAAGAATGATTGAAGGTCTAGAGAACATAACCTATGAAGGAAGGCTGAAAGAATTGGAAAAGAGAAGATTAAGGGGGGACATGATAGCAGTTTTCAGGTATCTAAAAGGGTGTAATAAGGAGGGAGAAAACTTGTTCATCCTGGCCTCTGAGGATAGAACAAAAAGCAATAGGCTTAAACTGCAGCAAGGGACGTTTAGGTTGGACGTTAAGAAAAAGTTTGTAACTGTCAGGGTGGTTAAACACTGGAATAAATTGCCCAGGGAGATTGTGGAATTTCCATCTGTGGAGATATTTAAGAATAGGTTAGATAAATGTCTATCAGGGATGGTCTATACAGTACTAGACTGGTCCTGCCATGAGGGCAGGGGACTGGACTCGATGACCTCTCGAGGTTCCTTCCAGTCCCAATAGTCTATGATTCCTTCTGGAGAAAACCTCTCCCACCACATGCAGAAAATAGGTCCTGGTAGTTTCAACCCAAACAGCCTAAAACAATTACCTCCCTGCATAGTAAGTGCTAGGAGGCTGTTGTCTGGGTTGTTGGAAAACATGTGTGCTCCCTTTAAGGGTTAAAACGTCAGGGTGACTGGCTTCGGCAGCTTTTCCGCAGGTCAGCTGGCTTATTTTCCCCTGCCCACTAGCAACTGGAGGAAGAGATAGGAGACTAGTGAAGTCCAAGCTAGTGAGAAAAAGCCTTCCTTTATTTACTTGGACCTGGCAAAGTAGTACCCATCTTACCCTCCATATAAGTGGTTAAATACCAGGTTTTGTCTGTACCTGCTGGGGGCCACATCTTTCTTGGGAAGCAGGAAAGGAATATTTTTTCTCAGCACCAGACTGGCCAAGGGGAGGTGGTGTTTTTGCCATCCTCACGCTAGGTTGGGAGCTTAGTTGGAGCAAACATGACATGGGAATTAGGCTATATGTCTCAGGGAAGGGATAAAGGGAGATAGCAGTCGGATAAAGGGACTCAGAAAAAAGTTAAGGGAAATATTCTTTAAAGGAGTAGAAGTGGGAGAGGTGATGCTTTGGGGTTCCTGTGACTGGTCTGACTGGAGGAGGGAGGTGGCTCTGAATCCCTTTCCTGTACAGCCCTTTTTACCTTTATTTGAGGGGTAAGAGTAGCAGGGCCCCAAGAGTGGATGGGCTCGTGACCAAAATGGGTGAAAGGGGGAGGGCTGGTAGCATAATGATTATGGAATTACCTGTACTGTATGCTTTTATCTGCTGGGTATTTCCAAGCATTTAGGAACCAAGTTTTAGCCAAATTAAGCCAAAGCCATTGTTTCCTGTTGTTCTTTCACGACAACAAGTCTCCATTTCTGCATAATACCTTTTGAGAAGAATTTGTGTCAATTGCATAGGCAGGATGCAGGAACTAGTGAACAAGAAAATATGCAAAAACCTCAGGGGAACCATCCTTGGGTAACATTTACTGATAGCCTGAAAGCCTGGACAGCTGAGCAATAGGCCTTTGAAACCTCCAACAATCAAGAGAAGAAGAATGCACAGATTCTAGTGAGCAGGGTGTTGCCCTAGGAGGGCAAAGAACTCATTTTGCTGACCATTTTATTTTGTTGGACTTTTGTTTACCTGGGAGGAAAGAGTTGTTTATTAGTTTGGCTGGAGGGATAACCTAAATTAAGTTACCTAAAAAGAAGGAGAGACACATCTTGACAGTGAAGAGGGGGCCTGGTGCTGATCAGTGGCTGCACCTGAGCAATGAAAGATGAGACCTTGCCTCTGCAACCTACAAACAAATTCACTGTCTCCAACCAAGCCACTGTACAGTTACAGACTTTATATACATACATCTCTCTCTCTCTCTCTCTCTCTCTCTCTCTCTCAGTACATATAGTATAAAGTTATCTTCTACCTGTGTCACCTTTGGCAGATAAAATACTATAATCATTTTATAGCTGAATGGTGTACAATGCAATGAAAGTTCTTCACTGGAAAAAATACTATGTTTTCCCCCTTTTACTTTCTTCAGCAGTGATTAGTTCCAGAAAGATGAGGTATCATCATTCCTCTGAAGGCATTGTAGGATAGAAGATTGGTCCTCAGAAGTTGGCAACATATAATAAATGTGCTTTATTCCTAAACATCAATCAGTTTCAAGAATGGCAGTTGCTTGCAGAATGGTAATAATAGAAATATTCAGCTAATAACTACCACAGGCATTAAAACACTGGATGACAGATGTGAAGTGTTCTTGTATAATTATGGTTTTATAACTAGATACATCAGTTTCTAAATATTTAGTTCCTTACATTTCTGTATTTTTGCAATGAAATTTACATGACAGCATTTAGGTCTTTTTTTTTTAAGCTAAACCAAGAGACAGCTGGTACCTCTGCCTTTAATTATACTTGGGTATTATATGTAAGGATGGCAATTTCCCAGAATGACTTGTTTCTCTAAAGTGATAAGAGCTCACCAAATACTCAAAATCAATGAAAAAAGAAATATGCTAAATAATGTGTCATTATTTTAGCTTAGAGTATTTAGTTAGCACAAATGTTTAGGGGTAATACCCTAATGGAAAATGGAATAGTAGCATGTCTGAACTACGTAATATATTAGAGAGACAAGGCAAGTGATGTAATATCATTTATTGTCAGTACTGCAAAAGAACCTTCACAAAAGAACTATTTTTTTCTGAACTATAAAAGCTCTGGATATATAATAGAGGATACTTAAGTAATGTAAGTTAATATTTACATCAGTTCTACTTATGATTGACCTTCATAACAATGGTCAACATGACACTGCTGATTTCAAAATGGAATCTTGTACCTTGTATTTTGATTCTGGCTTTTGCATTAAAGACAGTTATAACAGGATTAATTTGCCTAAGAACTCAGCCTTCTGTGCAAGAGTTTTTGCACAAAAACTTCTTGTGCAACAGCACATCCACACCTCAAAGCACACACTGCATGGACGCTCTTGCACAAGAATGCTCTGATGGCCATTCATAGAATGGCCATCAGAGCACCTGTGCTTTTCCCCATAGGGGTTTCTTGTGCAGGAAACCTCTCTGGAGTGTCTACACTTGCTTTCTTGTGCAATAGCTGTAGCGCTAAAAGCAGTTATGCCTCAGAAAAGCAGGTTTACCTATGGCAGAAAAAGCCCTCTGTCCTGCTGTTTAATTGCCCATTTAATTGTGCAAGAGCTCATTCGAGGTGCGGACACTCCGCAAAAACCTTGTAGTGTAGATGTAGCCGCAGTGTCCTGCTTCATCTGATCTTAATAGTCATCAAATGAAGGCATCTCAGAGGGTGAGTATGAAACTTAATTTGTATATGTATTCAGCCTTTTAGTTTCCATTAATGAAAAACTGACAAAATCAAGAACAGGCCCTAATGGTGCTCTGTGGATTTATTTTTTGAAATGATGTTCACTGAACAAAACTGAGCTGAACTTACACAAATCCATGGAGCAAAGAAAAATGCCCATTTGATTTGAAAATAGACGTTGGAATTTCATAGTATGTAGACTTTGATGTTGAAAATAGATGTACATTTCTTATGGAATGTTCAACAAGGAAAACTCACAAAAACTTAAATGTTTGATGCAAAATTCTAACACATCTGTCCAGCATGGTAAAGTCTACATTTAAATCCAATACGCCATAGAGAGAGCCTAAACAAGTGCATTTTTGGAATAAAAAAATACTGTTAATTTAAGAAAATACTATGAAGCACACACAAAAGACTGTGCAATACCATATGTTGCATAATACATCAGATAATCAATTCAGTTTATCCGCCAAATTTCTTAGGAACGCAAAGAGGCTTAAGTTCTTTACTCAGAATTTTAACAAGTAAACAGTAAGCTTTATAAACAGGATGCATTAACAATTGGAAAAATAACCATTTGTGGTATT